CGGTACTTCCTTGCTCGAGAGCTGCAGCAGCGCGGTCAGCTTTGTATTCGCTACGTGGCCACTGAGGCCAACACTGCTGATGTGTTCACCAAGGCGCTTCAGCCTCGTGACCATCAGCGCTTCTGCACTCTACTAGGCCTTGTGCCTACTGGACCTCACTTGCTTACCTCTTGACTTTGCCTGTACTGTGATCACTATATATATCTATACCTGCATGTTTACTCTTGCTAGGTTGTGATCACTGTATCTCATGCTCTGTTATAAACCTGCATGTGAACTGGTCTTGTGACCACTAGCTTGTGCTCGGAATTTGTGTGGTATCCTTGAGATCCACCCTGAGCTTGTTGTTGCCTTGCTTTGCCTTGACTGGTCTTGTGACCCCTAGGTCTCCCCCACTTTGCCTATGGGGGTGTGTCAAACATTATATATGTTGCGTTTGTTAGGCTACAGTGGGTTAGCCTATATGGGGTACACAATTCTAGGGTTTGCTATTTGTACTGATTTCTCTGTTAGTTCATCCATTCCTGTCTGTTAACTCCGACAGCTACACGCAAAATCAGGCGCGTGCAGGGCTTCGCCTTAACATGGCGAAGCGGGCTTCGCCATCCACGACATGACCTGCCCCTACAAACCACAGCAGAACGACATGGCGGAGCGGGAGGTGCGGACGGTGGTGGAATCGGTGCGGACGATGCTGCTGGACATGGGCGTGCAACACCACTAGTGGCACCTCACCCTGCGGCAGGCCGTTTGGGTGCGCACTGCCTGGAGAGGTCGACACTGCCGCCGGGGACAACTTCCTACCAGCTGACCGGCAAGAGCACAACAACCGCAACAACACTGCAACACATCATTCAATGCAGCACAACATTCGTAGCAGAAAAGCATTCACAACATCATAGCATCAATAGTAGTAAAGCAGTACATTCGCTCTGCCCTTCTCACTCTTCATTCCTACTACAGGCACTTAACTGAAGAAATGTAAGTGAGGTACGCAGCGCCTCGGATGAGTCATTCCTGCCGCTCAGCGACAGCACCAAGGTTCTTGTCTGTTTGCAAGATCAAGAGGGTTTCGAGAAAGAGGGAATTCACAACTTGACTGCTAGAGGTACGTTATGTCAAACATACATATAATATATCACATTCATTGTGCACCGTCTAACCTTATCTCTATTGCATGTGTGTTCAGGCAACTTCAGAAAGCCACCACCTGAAAAGATACCCAGGTCAATTTGCATAGACGCTCGCTTGGATCCAGAAGGTGTTCTTGACATGCGGAATCTGCAACGTCCTTGACGTAGAGGAGAGGTGGTGTTGCTGCAGAGATTGGTGTCTCTAACTGCAGATCTTCTTCTCCTCCTCCTTCTTCCTCTCCTCCTCCTCCTCCTCCTCCTCCTCCTCCTCCTCCTCCTCCTCCTCCTCCTCCTCCCCCTCCTCCTCCCCCCCCCCCTCTCCGTCTCCACCCTCTCCTCCGTCCTCCTCGTCCTCCTCCTTATTCCTCCAGGTTTATATATATCTATAAATAATCATCATTGAAGCATGCATTGATAAGGCCAATCTATGCGTGTACTATGATTAACATTTGTCGCTCATGGACCATTGAGATTTTATTCAATGAACCATGGGAATGCTGATTACATTGAAACTGAAATGAATGTGCGCGCTTAACCTTTACTGTCTCGTACTCAAGCGCGTACGCTAGCAGATGGTTCGACCGCCTTGGGATTGTTGTGGCACGAGGCGCACCACCCATTGTTGTATCTTAGAGTGTCGCCTCGCTTACGGTACCTGCCTCATCGCTCGACGACAAACACTCCTGGCTCTGGCCTCAGAAAAGTCACGGCTTTTAGTCGTCGAGAAGGCAATAACGGGTTCCAAGCAGCTACTGAGTTTCAAGTTAGGTCTTCCGATAATAGGAGCGGTAAGCCTGCTTGTCAGGTCGAATCGTCTATCGCAGCTCGTCGCACTCGTTCCATAGCCATCGCGCTTGCCAGTGACGTGTCAGAATCCCAGCCATTAACCACTGGGATAAAAGGGCTTGTTTGTGTAGCGGGTCCGTGCGCCCATAACCCCCTAGGCAAACGCGCCTGTAACCCCCCCAAGGATCAATCGGGCATCCACAGTGCAGATCTACTGACACCCCCCCCCCACTGGGATGTCAAATTATATGTTTACTATTATCTAGGCTGTAGTGGGTTTAGTCTTAGGGGGTACAGTAAATTGCTCGACACTTCATTGTATCCCCCTCCTTGCCCTAATCCACCTCATTCCTTAGCTATCTAAACGTAGGACCAAATTAAAAGGGCCATTATCCAAATTAGCTTCATTCCTTCATTCCTCATTTTATTTTATTTCTTTGCCATTAGGTCCTTAGGACCAGATTTTTAAAAGGGCCCACCGTTAAGTCTTCGATTTCTTGCCCGAATCGCGCCCCTAGGCGCGTCACATTTTTATCCTGCCCAAAACGCACCCTAGGCGCGTCGATTTCTCCTGCATAGCGTTAGAGCTGAACCTCGCGCTGCCCTGCCCCGCTCGCGATCGCGCTGCCCTGCCCCGCCCGCGCGCGGCTGTCCTGCCCTGCAGCCCGCGCGCTGCCCTGCCCTGCAGCCCGCGCGACGTCCTGCCCTGCAGCCCGCGGGCTGTCTTGCCCTACTCTGCGCCACCCGCAAACGCGCTGCCCTGCGCCCTGCCAGCGACCCGCACCCGCGCTAATAGCCATCGTGCCGCCGCACTCGAGCTGTCGCGATCGCACTGTCGCCGTGGAGGGCCACACGCGACGCTGCGAGTCTGCGGGCGCACCGGCGGTCGAGCAGGGCTGCGCAATGCCAAGCGCGCAAGCGGCGATGCCTCTCAGGCGCCCATGCGCGTGAATTCCCCCGAGATCAGTAGCCGCACGTCGACCGCGCGGGGATGGCGATCACGATCACGGGGTTCAGTTCCTTGCCGCCGCGGGTGCCGGCCGCGAGCCTGGCGCATTGGATTCGCTTTCAACGCGTGCTGCGTTTGCTGCTGGGCGTCGTGCTGCTCGCCACGCGTCCCCGCTGGGGATGTGTTCATGCGCAGCAACAGCAGCAGCAGGGCGCGGGAGGGGCAGGTAAATCGGACGGAAAAATAGCGAGGAGTAACGAGAGGAATCAATGGTAGGCGAGGGGACAAGTGGCCGTCAGTCGACTCGAATCAGTGCCCGCTTGCAATGACGTCAGCATCACCGTCCTTCGTCCGTCAGCCATGCCTCACCAAGCCTGCATTGCACTCCCCGTCATTTCCCCTGTTGCCCCTTCGGATGGCCCATCGCTGCAGGTGTGCAGCACACGCCACTCAACGGAGCAGCCGCCACCACCACCCCTCTTCCATGGTCGGTGCTGCCAGTGCCCCTCACCTCCACACGCCCCCGCTCCTTTCATTATCTCCTGACTTGTTCTCATTCTCTCCCTGGCTCTCCACACCTGCGGATTTCTCTCTTCCTCCCTCCACCCTCCCTCACACTTCACCCCCCCATTCTCCCCTCCTTCTTCGCCCCCCTCCTTCCGTATTGCCTCTAGCCCTCTGTCGCTCCCGTCTTCGCTGCTTCTCTCTGTTGGAGTTGGTCCTGTCTCGTATTTCCATGTGGCTCGTATTTCCATGTGGCTCGTATGTCATCCCATCCCATCCCACCACACTGCATGCATCCCATTTGAACACATGATGTGGTATGGTGGATCATGCCATCCATGTGTCGTCATCATGCCATCCATGTGTCGTCATCATGCCATCCATGTGTCATCATCATGCCATCCATGTGTCATCATCATGCCATCCACGTGTCGTCATCATGCCATCCATGTGTCATCATCATGCCATCCATGTGTCATCATCATGCCATCCACGTGTCGTCATCATGCCATCCATGTGTCATCATCATGCTATCCATGTGTGGTCATCATGCCATCCATGTGTCGTCATCATGCCATCCATGTGTCATCATCATGCCATCCATGTGTCATCATCATGCCATCCACGTGTCGTCATCATGCCATCCATGTGTCATCATCATGCCATCCATGTGTCATCATCATGCCATCCATGTGTCATCATCATGCCATCCATGTGTCATCATCATGCCATTGTGTCATCATCATGCCATCCATGTGTCATCATCATGCCATCCATGTGTCATCATCATGCCATCCATGTGTCATCATCATGCCATCCATCATCCATGTGTCATCATCATGCCATCCATGTGTCATCATCATGCCATCCATGTGTCATCATCATGCCATCCATGTGTCATCATCATGCCATCCATGTGTCATCATCATGCCATCCATCATCCATGTGTCATCATCATGCCATCCATGTGTCATCATCATGCCATCCACGTGTCGTCATCGTGCCATCCATGTGTCATCATCATGCTATCCATGTGTGGTCATCATGCCATCCATGTGTCGTCATCATGCCATCCATGTGTCATCATCGTGCCATCCATGTGTCATCATCATGCCATCCACGTGTCGTCATCATGCCATCCATGTGTCATCATCATGCCATCCATGTGTCATCATCATGCCATCCATGTGTCATCATCATGCCATTCTGGCTGTGATTGGGAACTCACAGGTCGTCTGTTCCACAGCAGCAGAATCAACAACAGCAACAGGAAAGGCACCAGAAGCAGCAGCAGCAGCAGCAGCAGCAGGGCGGGGGAGGCGAGGTGCAGAGGTGGTATCTAGACAACAGTGAGCTGGAGGCGTTCCTCCGAGCCTATGTGGACCGATGCAGCCACATGGCACGCCTCTACAGGTAGGTGATGCAGCCACGTGGAATGCACAAAAGTCTAGGCATTTTTAGGGTTGTGAGTGGCTCATTTTCTGCCATCCGTCCTGCACTCAACGTTCGTTATCTTGTTGCTAGCAACTCACTGTTTCTCACTGCTTCTCCACCCGTCACCTTTCCCTGAATTACATTCTCCCACTTCCACTCCTCCTGTGCCACACCCTCTCATTTTCTTCCTGCAGTATTGGCCGCAGTGTGCTGGGTGTTCCTCTGGTGAGTCGCATAAAGAGAGTGTAAAGAACGGGCGGGAGCGGGAGTGAAGGGACGGAGTGGGGGTGAAGGGAAGAAGTGGGGGAGTGAGGGGTTTGAGTGGAAATGGAACGACTAAGTGGGACCCACTTAGTGTGTGTGGAACGACTAATTGGTGGATGCATGTGTGGCGTGTTGTGCATGCCATGCCCTTGGTGAGTTGGTGGCAGCAAGCGGAGAGTCAGACAGCTCTGGGTTGGAAAGAATGGCGGCTGCTTGATGCCATTCTTTCGTGGGTTAGAGACCGCTAGATGCATGGCATGCGATCTGGTGGCACCACGTCCCTTTTTTGTCTGCCCTTCCTTTCCATCTTTGATTTCTTGCACTGTCTCTTTCCCTCCCCCTACCCCCCCAACCCCCGGCGCTCTTTTCGCTTCTTGCACCGTGTCTATGTGCCTGCACCCACTATCACCCCTGTGCGCCCATTATCACCCCTGTGCGCCTATCATCACCCCTGTGTCTGCTGTGTGCCAGTGGGTGCTGCTCATTACGTTGAACCCAACTGAAAAGCGCCCTCGCTTCACATTCAAGGTGCTTTTCCAACTCAGAACCAGACTGCTACAATCTTATCTTGCTACACACTTGATCCCGTCCCACAACTGCGTGTTAGGACGCGGCACCTGTTTTTATAATGCCAGGATCGATCGTGGGAGGGGATCGATATGCCGCTGGTACAGTGTATTGGCGACATCGCCAATGCCTGGTATCCGTTTTTCGCAGAATGTCGAAAATGTACAGAAATCGGGTACCCAAAATGGTGGCATTTGCAGCTCGCACGATCGATGTGCCATGGTGCACACATCGATTGTGCGTTTGGGTTGACGAGAGGGCACATCGCGCCACAGGTGACAGTCGCGATCGAAAGGCGTCGCCCAAGGTCGCAGGCCAAAATTGATTGGATAGCGACCAGTTTTGCTTCTCTCGGAATGGATAACGACCAAGCTGTTGGTGTATTCCGCCTCCCGCACGAACCTGCAATTCCGATCCTGGCACCCATGGCTCGGCATGTCTATCACACTGCAAATTGCAATGTGTCCACATCGGTGTGCCGGTCGATGTGGGAGAATCGGTGTACGGGCTTCGATCCTCTCTCGATGCTGGCAAAGTCAAAACATGTGCCGCGTCCTTAGCCTTGTGGCTTTCCTGTCGCTGCGCCGGAAGGGTGTGTTCACTTTTCACTTACTATACATTCACGCCTTCCACTCTTGAAGGCTCTGTTGCATAGCTTCTCCAAGGCTTGGGCATGGCCCGGGCCAGGAAGGGTCAGGCCAGGATTTTTCAAGTCTTTCTTTGTCTGGTGCTGGGTTGGGTTGGGCTGGGCTGGGCAGGGCTAGGCTGGGTTGGGCTGGGTTGGGCTGGCCTGCTAGGTCTTTTGTGGCTCGAGTTGCGGCCTCGGCTCGTGCGGGCGGTCAGGTGGGTGGGGCCATGAAAGCAGGGGCGCGTCCCTGATGCTGGCGAGAACGGGTTTGGCACTCACTTTGAGGCCCAAGCCCAGATTACATGCTTTTCAGACATTTTCCAGTGGCGTCTCCCACATCTAAAGACCTGCCGTCCCACGATCATGTGGAACCCCCTTGCGTGACGGCAGCGACCAGGCGGCAGCAACATGAAGCGATGGCAGAGGGCACATCAATCAACGGCAGCGCGGCGCACAGAAGCAGCCATGCCCAGCCGAGCAATGGTGATGCATCGTTACCCTGGATCGTGTGGCAATGCTCCTGACTCCCCGCCCATACCTCCCTCCCGGCAGTACATAGGTGGTGTGCATGGGGATGAGCCATTGGGGCGGCAGCTGCTGCTGTACCTGGCAGACTGGCTCTGCAACAACTACCCCTCGCACCCCCTCGTGAGTGCACCCCCTCGTGAGTGCACCCCCTCGTGAGTGCACCCCCTCGTGAGTGCACCCCCTCGTGAGTGCACCCCCTCGTGAGTGCACCATGCCCCAAGGCACCCGGTCATGACTTTCCCCTAGTACCCCCAATATTTTTGTCCTCCATTCTACATCCAGTGATCTTCTGTAGATTATGCGTAGAAATGGTATGCCAACATCCGATTGGGATTTTTCTCGTGGTCTAATCTATTTGCCACCTTATCAGTGAAAATTGGTTAACTCCCGTCCCATGTTTTCCCCTTCCCTTCCTCACTCCACCCCTGTTTGTGATCAAGGCCTAGTGCATTCCTTCATGCTCACATTCTGACACGTCACGTGTATGTGTGTCTGTTTGTCTGCATGGGTGTATATGCACGTGTATGTGTGTGTGTGTGTGTGTGTGCGCGCGCGCGCGCGCGTGCGTGCGTGCGTGCGTGTGCGTGCGTGCGTGCGTGTGTGCGTGCGTGCGTGCGTGCGTGCGTGCGCGCGCGCGCGCGTGTGTGTGTGTGTGTGTGTGTGTGTGTGTGTGTGTGTGTGTGTGTGTGTGTGTGCATGTGCATGTGCATGTGCATGCATGCATGTACGTGTGCGCAAATGCTGCCATGAATGGGCGGGGCTGTGAAGCTGCAAGCCAGAGAAACCCCGTGTTTTTGTGCGATGTGCTTGTGTGCATTTGGGGTGCATGTGGGGGTTGGTGGGAGGGAGTGGCACCGTGGTGTGGGGAGGGAGCACCGGTGACACGGCGTGTATTGGCATGGCTTGGATTGGTGCAATGCTAATGGTGGTGGGATGGGTTCAAGGGTTGAAAATGGCATGAAGGAGGGGGGGAAAGGAGTGTGGAAATGGCATGTGGTGCGGTTTGTGTGTGATGGGTGTGCTGTGGTGTGCTGTGGTGTGGTGTGCGGTGCTGTGCGGGGCATGGCAGGCGAGGGAGGTGGTGGAGGGGGTGGAGCTGCATCTGCTACCGGCCATGAATCCAGATGGCTTCACGCTGCACACCAGGGAGAACGCCAACCGAGTCGACCTCAACCGCGCCTTCCCTGACCACGTCAGTGCTGCCTCCTCCCCTTCCCTCACCACGTCAGTGCTGCCTCCTCCCCTTCCCTCACCACGTCAGTGCTGCCTCCTCCCCTTCCCTCACCACGTCAGTGCTGCCTCCTCCCCTTCCCTCACCACGTCAGTGCTGCCTCCTCCCCTTCCTTGACCACGTCAGTATGCCCCTCTCCTTCCTTCACCACGTCAGTGCTGCCTCCTCCCCATGCCTCACTGCACCCGCCCCTCCGCATGCCTTATGCCTCTGCCCCTCTGCATGCCTCGCTCTCTCGATCCCGTTTTCGCGAATTGTGGTTCCTCGTCGCGCTGTTTTTGTTTCCATCGGCCTGTTCCCGTTTTTTTTTATGGTCCAGCATCCAGCATCTGGACGCACTATGTAGACGCTTGACACTGGGGACACTGGGGACACCAAGGGCACCATGGATACCAGGGAAGCTAGGAATCTAGAGCTTCCTCTGTAACATACCCTCATACCTGCTTTCTTAATAGCAGCACTGTCTTCCCTCGCTCCTCTCTCTCTTTCCCCCACACTTCTCCCCCCTCTCTCTGCCCCTCACCTCTTTCCTCCCCCCTCTCTATCCGGCTTCTCTCCCGTGGGGGCGGCCCCCTGGCAGTGGTTCGCGGAGATGAATGCAGAGGAGGCGGGGCGGCAGGCGGAGGTGCGCGCCGTCATGCGCTGGACGCAGCGCCACCACATCATCAGCGCCTCCGCACTAGCCTGCACGGGGTGAGACCTGCACGGGGTGAGACCTGCACGGGGTGAGACCTGCACGGGGTGAGACCTGCACGGGGTGAGACCTGCACGGGGTGAGACCTGCACGGGGTGAGACCTGCACGGGGTGAGACCTGCACGGGGCGAGACCTGCACGGGGCGAGACCTGCACGGGGCGAGACCTGCACGGGGCGAGACCTGCACGGGGCGAGACCTGCACGGGGCGAGACCTGCACGGGGCGAGACCTGCACGGGGCGAGACCTGCACGGGGTGAGACCTGCACGGGGTGAGACCTGCACGGGGTGAGACCTGCACGGGGTGAGACCTGCACGGGGTGAGACCTGCACGGGGTGAGACCTGCACGGGGTGAGACCTGCACGGGGTGAGACCTGCACGGGGTGAGACCTGCACGGGGCGAGACCTGCACGGGGCGAGACCTGCACGGGGCGAGACCTGCACGGGGCGAGACCTGCACGGGGCGAGACCTGCACGGGGCGAGACCTGCACGGGGTGAGACCTGCACGGGGTGAGACCTGCACGGGGTGAGACCTGCACGGGGTGAGACCTGCACGGGGTGAGACCTGCACGGGGTGAGACCTGCACGGGGTGAGACCTGCACGGGGTGAGACCTGCACGGGGTGAGACCTGCACGGGGTGAGACCTGCACGGGGTGAGACCTGCACGGGGTGAGACCTGCACGGGGTGAGACCTGCACGGGGTGAGACCTGCACGGGGCGAGACCTGCACGGGGCGAGACCTGCACGGGGCGAGACCTGCACGGGGCGAGACCTGCACGGGGCGAGACCTGCACGGGGCGAGACCTGCACGGGGCGAGACCTGCACGGGGCGAGACCTGCACGGGGTGAGACCTGCACGGGGTGAGACCTGCACGGGGTGAGACCTGCACGGGGTGAGACCTGCACGGGGTGAGACCTGCACGGGGTGAGACCTGCACGGGGTGAGACCTGCACGGGGTGAGACCTGCACGGGGCGAGACCTGCACGGGGCGAGACCTGCACGGGGCGAGACCTGCACGGGGCGAGACCTGCACGGGGCGAGACCTGCACGGGGCACGGGGCGAGACCTGCACGGGGTGAGACCTGCACGGGGTGAGACCTGCACGGGGTGAGACCTGCACGGGGTGAGACCTGCACGGGGTGAGACCTGCACGGGGTGAGACCTGCACGGGGTGAGACCTGCACGGGGTGAGACCTGCACGGGGTGAGACCTGCACGGGGTGAGACCTGCACGGGGTGAGACCTGCACGGGGTGAGACCTGCACGGGGTGAGACCTGCACGGGGTGAGACCTGCACGGGGTGAGACCTGCACGGGGTGAGACCTGCACGGGGTGAGACCTGCACGGGGTGAGACCTGCACGGGGTGAGACCTGCACGGGGTGAGACCTGCACGGGGTGAGACCTGCACGGGGTGAGACCTGCACGGGGTGAGACCTGCACGGGGTGAGACCTGCACGGGGCGAGACCTGCACGGGGCGAGACCTGCACGGGGCGAGACCTGCACGGGGCGAGACCTGCACGGGGCGAGACCTGCACGGGGCGAGACCTGCACGGGGCGAGACCTGCACGGGGCGAGACCTGCACGGGGCGAGACCTGCACGGGGTGAGACCTGCACGGGGTGAGACCTGCACGGGGTGAGACCTGCACGGGGTGAGACCTGCACGGGGTGAGACCTGCACGGGGTGAGACCTGCACGGGGTGAGACCTGCACGGGGTGAGACCTGCACGGGGTGAGACCTGCACGGGGTGAGACCTGCACGGGGTGAGACCTGCACGGGGTGAGACCTGCACGGGGTGAGACCTGCACGGGGTGAGACCTGCACGGGGTGAGACCTGCACGGGGTGAGACCTGCACGGGGTGAGACCTGCACGGGGTGAGACCTGCACGGGGTGAGACCTGCACGGGGTGAGACCTGCACGGGGCGAGACCTGCACGGGGCGAGACCTGCACGGGGCGAGACCTGCACGGGGCGAGACCTGCACGGGGCGAGACCTGCACGGGGCGAGACCTGCACGGGGTGAGACCTGCACGGGGTGAGACCTGCACGGGGTGAGACCTGCACGGGGTGAGACCTGCACGGGGTGAGACCTGCACGGGGTGAGACCTGCACGGGGTGAGACCTGCACGGGGTGAGACCTGCACGGGGTGAGACCTGCACGGGGTGAGACCTGCACGGGGTGAGACCTGCACGGGGTGAGACCTGCACGGGGTGAGACCTGCACGGGGTGAGACCTGCACGGGGCGAGACCTGCACGGGGCGAGACCTGCACGGGGCGAGACCTGCACGGGGCGAGACCTGCACGGGGCGAGACCTGCACGGGGCGAGACCTGCACGGGGCGAGACCTGCACGGGGCGAGACCTGCACGGGGTGAGACCTGCACGGGGTGAGACCTGCACGGGGTGAGACCTGCACGGGGTGAGACCTGCACGGGGTGAGACCTGCACGGGGTGAGACCTGCACGGGGTGAGACCTGCACGGGGTGAGACCTGCACGGGGCGAGACCTGCACGGGGCGAGACCTGCACGGGGCGAGACCTGCACGGGGCGAGACCTGCACGGGGCGAGACCTGCACGGGGCACGGGGTGAGACCTGCACGGGGTGAGACCTGCACGGGGTGAGACCTGCACGGGGTGAGACCTGCACGGGGTGAGACCTGCACGGGGTGAGACCTGCACGGGGTGAGACCTGCACGGGGTGAGACCTGCACGGGGTGAGACCTGCACGGGGTGAGACCTGCACGGGGTGAGACCTGCACGGGGTGAGACCTGCACGGGGTGAGACCTGCACGGGGTGAGACCTGCACGGGGTGAGACCTGCACGGGGTGAGACCTGCACGGGGTGAGACCTGCACGGGGTGAGACCTGCACGGGGTGAGACCTGCACGGGGTGAGACCTGCACGGGGTGAGACCTGCACGGGGTGAGACCTGCACGGGGTGAGACCTGCACGGGGTGAGACCTGCACGGGGTGAGACCTGCACGGGGTGAGACCTGCACGGGGTGAGACCTGCACGGGGCGAGACCTGCACGGGGCGAGACCTGCACGGGGCGAGACCTGCACGGGGCGAGACCTGCACGGGGCGAGACCTGCACGGGGCGAGACCTGCACGGGGTGAGACCTGCACGGGGTGAGACCTGCACGGGGTGAGACCTGCACGGGGTGAGACCTGCACGGGGTGAGACCTGCACGGGGTGAGACCTGCACGGGGTGAGACCTGCACGGGGTGAGACCTGCACGGGGTGAGACCTGCACGGGGTGAGACCTGCACGGGGTGAGACCTGCACGGGGTGAGACCTGCACGGGGTGAGACCTGCACGGGGTGAGACCTGCACGGGGCGAGACCTGCACGGGGCGAGACCTGCACGGGGCGAGACCTGCACGGGGCGAGACCTGCACGGGGCGAGACCTGCACGGGGCGAGACCTGCACGGGGCGAGACCTGCACGGGGTGAGACCTGCACGGGGTGAGACCTGCACGGGGTGAGACCTGCACGGGGTGAGACCTGCACGGGGTGAGACCTGCACGGGGTGAGACCTGCACGGGGTGAGACCTGCACGGGGTGAGACCTGCACGGGGTGAGACCTGCACGGGGTGAGACCTGCACGGGGTGAGACCTGCACGGGGTGAGACCTGCACGGGGCGAGACCTGCACGGGGCGAGACCTGCACGGGGCGAGACCTGCACGGGGCGAGACCTGCACGGGGCGAGACCTGCACGGGGTGAGACCTGCACGGGGTGAGACCTGCACGGGGTGAGACCTGCACGGGGTGAGACCTGCACGGGGTGAGACCTGCACGGGGTGAGACCTGCACGGGGTGAGACCTGCACGGGGTGAGACCTGCACGGGGTGAGACCTGCACGGGGTGAGACCTGCACGGGGTGAGACCTGCACGGGGTGAGACCTGCACGGGGTGAGACCTGCACGGGGTGAGACCTGCACGGGGTGAGACCTGCACGGGGTGAGACCTGCACGGGGTGAGACCTGCACGGGGTGAGACCTGCACGGGGTGAGACCTGCACGGGGTGAGACCTGCACGGGGTGAGACCTGCACGGGGTGAGACCTGCACGGGGTGAGACCTGCACGGGGTGAGACCTGCACGGGGTGAGACCTGCACGGGGTGAGACCTGCACGGGGTGAGACCTGCACGGGGTGAGACCTGCACGGGGTGAGACCTGCACGGGGTGAGACCTGCACGGGGTGAGACCTGCACGGGGTGAGACCTGCACGGGGTGAGACCTGCACGGGGCGAGACCTGCACGGGGCGAGACCTGCACGGGGCGAGACCTGCACGGGGCGAGACCTGCACGGGGCGAGACCTGCACGGGGCGAGACCTGCACGGGGCGAGACCTGCACGGGGCGAGACCTGCACGGGGTGAGACCTGCACGGGGTGAGACCTGCACGGGGTGAGACCTGCACGGGGTGAGACCTGCACGGGGTGAGACCTGCACGGGGTGAGACCTGCACGGGGTGAGACCTGCACGGGGTGAGACCTGCACGGGGTGAGACCTGCACGGGGTGAGACCTGCACGGGGTGAGACCTGCACGGGGTGAGACCTGCACGGGGCGAGACCTGCACGGGGCGAGACCTGCACGGGGCGAGACCTGCACGGGGCGAGACCTGCACGGGGCGAGACCTGCACGGGGCGAGACCTGCACGGGGCGAGACCTGCACGGGGTGAGACCTGCACGGGGTGAGACCTGCACGGGGTGAGACCTGCACGGGGTGAGACCTGCACGGGGTGAGACCTGCACGGGGTGAGACCTGCACGGGGTGAGACCTGCACGGGGTGAGACCTGCACGGGGTGAGACCTGCACGGGGTGAGACCTGCACGGGGTGAGACCTGCACGGGGTGAGACCTGCACGGGGTGAGACCTGCACGGGGTGAGACCTGCACGGGGTGAGACCTGCACGGGGTGAGACCTGCACGGGGTGAGACCTGCACGGGGTGAGACCTGCACGGGGTGAGACCTGCACGGGGTGAGACCTG